AGAACTTTATAGCCTATAAGTTATAAGTTTTACTGATACAAAATAAATTATTTAAACTCAGAGAACTTTATAGCCTATAAGTTATAAGTTTTACTGATACAAAATAAATTATTTAAACTCTTTAATTAATTGATTTTGAACTCTATTGTTACGGGCCAACCAGAGAATTTTATAGAAGTTATAAGTTTTACTGATACAAAAGGAATTATTTAAACTCTTTAATTAATTGATTTTCACTTATTAACTATAAGTCTATACTAAATCTAGTGTTGGCCCGTAGTACAAGTTGAATTATTTAAATCGAGACCGAAAATCAGTAGTAAAGGAAACTACGAATGAATTTCATCTCGTGAAATTATGCTAATAGCTCTCTACCCAGTGAAGTCCCGAAAATTACAATCATATTGAATTGACTACAAAAAAATCATTTTCACCCATGCAAATCGCACAAACCCTCACAAGTAACAAGAAGAAGTTGGATTTAATCATTCATAATATTTACAAAGTGAATTCTATCAATGTATTACGACATCTAACCTTATTCATATACTATATATTGTTTAAGCTCTTTATTAAATATGATTTTCTCATATGTCAACCACATGTCAAGTTTGACATATTGTTCTTAATAACTTGTAATTTTTTATAAATGGACAATGTTACATCACAAATAAAATAATCAAAATAATTTTTTTTAATTAAATAAATTATTAACTACGACATTTTAGAGCATAAATCCTAACAACAAACCCACTAGTAACAAAATCACCTATGACCAAAAAACCAACTCAACGTTGTTATTGAAGGAGATTGAATGACGTCAAAGTGAGCACGAGCTAAGAGAGATAGAGGGTTGACAATGGTGACACAAACACGAACATACAAAGAGGGAGATCGAACAACAAAGCAACAGTGAGATTGAAAGATAGGACAGAAACAAATTCGAGGACGAATGTACAACATAGTAAAGACAAGCGTCAAGCAAATTAAAGACAAATGTAGACGAGTAATGCACAAATGAAGAAGTTCAACCCTAAGATAGCATGTGTCTATTTGAGCGAAGGCAAACGAGGACAAACCAAACCATTTTCGGTTGAATTCACGTCGAAACCAAACCGGTTCGTTCGGTTCTTAACACCCCTTCTCCTCGTCTTCCTAGACTTCCAAAATTTAAAATTCAGTCCTGATATGAACCAAGAGACATCAATCATACAATATGCTTCAATGAAGATGTGGAGAAAAGGTTATCAAAATAATCAAAAGATGTTTCAATTCATGCTACATTGAAGAAGAATAAAGTTTGATTGTTGTAAATTTTGGGTGGGTTATAATTTAGAGTTATTGTGTTTTAAGACTTTTTATTTAATTTCGGTTACATTTACATAATGGCTAATTATGGCCATAAAGTGTGAATGTTACAACTTTTGGAATGCCTTTAATAGTTTCATTTTGAGGCTATATAAAGCCATCTATGTGGTATTTGTAATGAGACTTAGAAGATATAGTAAAAGAAGCATTTGTGCTTTTCTTTAGCCAATGGCTAAGTTTCTTTGCAACTCTATGTAGTTTAGGTTGCATGTAGAATCATTGAAGCTAGACATGATCGATCTTGCTTGTGGAGTGATTCGAATCTCAAACAAGTGTTCTTGTCTTGAGATATTTGATCAACAAGAATCATTGAAGCTAGACATGATCGATCTTGCTTCTGGAGTGATTCGAATCTCAAACAAAATGTTCTTGTCTTGAGATATTCGATCAACAAGGTAATCCGAATCTTATTCCCCTTGTATTGATTCCTTATCTTATCATTTGGTATCAGAGCTTCAGGCTCAAGATCGGATATATGTTTCCTTTGCGTTTCTTTTTAATTTGTTTTTTTTTTTTTTTTTATCTTTTTAGTTTTTAATCGATCCAAAATAAAAAAATTCAATCTGGGCTCTACTAAAAAATTTGAGAGGTAAGAATGAAAGCTTCATTTGTGTAAAAGAGTGTTGTGAGGTCCGTCGTATTTCCATAACTTATTTTTTGCAGCAAAGTTACACAAATAGATTCGAGGACGAATCCTCTTGAAGAAGTGGAGAA